ACACCATAGACTAAATCGCTAGGTGATATTTAGCAATATGAAACGCTTGAAACTAGAGCTGTCAAAATGGAACCCGGCCCGAGTAACCCGCCCGATTAACCCAACCGTAACCCGAACGCAACCCGATTTGACTAAAAGTCAATGACCCGGAACCCGCCCGACCCGTAACCCGATTGATCCGCAGCCCGATTAACCCGCTACCCGATTGACCCGTAACCCGATTAATCCGAGCCCGATTGACCCGCAACCCGATTAAGCCCGTAACCGATTGGCCCGAACCCGATTGAGCCTAACCCGTGACCCGCCCGATTGACTTGAATAATTACTATATTATACAGTGTTCAAGAAGACGCGATTAATCTCTCGCCTAGGCGCGATTAATAGCTGGGCAGGAGGAAATCGCCCCGTCTAGCCCTGGGCGATTGATCTAGGCACCTAGGCACTCGGAGGTGCGTTTTCACCCTGGTGGGCAATGCCCAGAACAACTAATAAAGGGGAAAGTGTAGCCTTTTTGTGAAAATCCCAAACTCTATTCTATTTCCCATTTCCATTCGACCAGCCGCTACCTCTCATCGACCAGCAGTGAGATCTCTCCTGATGGTTGGCGACTTAAGATGTTTGGGATTGTGGAAAAGGGTTGTATGTGTATATACATGGATGAATAATGATATGGGGACTTGGGTTTTTGTGGAATATGGCTTATTTAACATATTTTTTTTCAACGTTTAATCTCGCCTAGGCAACGACTAATCAGCCTGGGCGCTGGGCAGTGCCTCCTCGCCTAGATAGAGCCCAGCGTCTTCTTTAACATTGATATTATATAATAAATAGTATTTCCAAATAAATTTTTTTCCTAAACCTAACTAAAAACCATTTTTATTTCGTAAAGGAGAACCCAATTAAATATAAATAGAGTGAAGTGATTTATTTAATAATTTGATTATTTTTTATAAGGATGAACCCAATTTTTGGCGCCAAACCTTTCAAGTAGGCTTTATTATACAAAAATATGGATGAGACAAAAGTGAAAAGTTAAATTGTTTTGCAATTTCTATCTGCAGATAGAGAGCCAAAAAGGACACGGGAAATAAAATTTGTTTGGCGCCTGACAGTTAAACTTGAAAATTGGCAATGGCCCGCGAAACAAAAAATTCTTGGCGGGTCATCAAGGTGGGTTAGTAAATTTATAAACATTGGCGAGGGTATTTTCTTATGGTTCATTGTAATAATGGGGTAGTTGACTAGTTGTGGACTAATAACATCCATTTTCTTAATCTGTTTCCTCAAACTACCACCAGCACGATTAGGAGTTTTTTAAATGGTTAGGTAAAGTTTAAAAGGATTTTGATGAAATTGAAAACTTAATAGATGAAGCCAAAATCAAATTTTAGCACTATAAAAAATTTTAGAGCCAAAAAATTGTGTATTACTAGGATTAGTAGCCTTATAGGAGTGAATTGATTAACAAACCTATGAAAATATTAGACTAACAAGATTGATTTAACTATTTGAACTTGTTGTTGTTGAAATACCTTGAATCCATGAACGTATATTGATTTCTCAAATCTATATTAATGGAGAGTCTCTTGTTGTAAAATATGTATGATGTATCGAAGTTGTTCGTGAGTAACTCGATAATTAGTGTATTGTAATTTGTAAGCAAGCACATAGCCAAATTTAGTGTATTGTAAGTTGAAATATGGTATATGGTTTAGGTTATAGCATGAATCCCTTTTTAATTTATGTTTTGAAAATCAAAGTCTGAATTTCACTTTAAATGAACTATAGTAGCAAATCATTACTTGTAAGACTATATGGTTAAGGTATAAGGTAAATGGTTACGTTATAAGGTATATGGTTTAGGGTATAGCAAATATCCCTTTTTAATCTATATTTTGAAAATCAAAGTCTCAATTTCCCTTTAAATTAACTATAACAACAAAATTGTAACTCATAATGATATATGATTAGGATATTAGGTTATATGGTTTAGGGTATATAGTTAGGGTATACCAAATATCATTTTGAATCTATGTTCTGAAAATCAAAATATGATTTTCACTTTAAATTAACTATAATAGCAAAATCATGACTCATAAGAATATATGGTTAGGGTAAATGGTATATGATATATGGTTTAGAGTATAGCAAAGATCCATTTTTAATCTATGTTTTAAAAATTAAAGTCTGAATTTCACTTTTAATGAACTATAGTAGCAAATCATAACTCGTAAGACTATATGGTTAGGGTATAAGGTATATGGTTTAGGGTATATAAAATATCCATTTTAATCTATGTTTTGAAAATCAAAGTATGAATTTCACTTTAAATTAACTATAGCAGCAAAATCGTAACATATATTGATATATGGTTAGGGATACCAAATATCACTTTTTTAATCTATGTTCTGAAAATCAAAATATAATTTTCACTTTTTTCCAAATATCACTTTAAATTTACTATAGTTGCAATTTATATTTTCCCCGACAAGTTCACTAACATTAAGATAAATAAAAATATAAGTTTTGAAAACCCCAAATGTATAATTAAAGTTCACTACACCACTTTTTCTCACAAGTTAGATTTCTCTCCACTTTCCCCTCACAAATTTAGATTTCTCTCCAAAAATTTCTCCACTTCCTTCTTCATCCAATTTACATTTCCTTCCAAGAATTTCTCCATTCCCTCCGCATTCCAGTTTAGATTTCCCTCCAAACATTTCCCCATTTCCTCCCCTCAAATTTAGATTTCCTACACCCCACAATTTTACTTATATATTTTTATGATACACTATATAATTTGTGGTTGCATTAGGACTATTAAATGAAAAAATAAAAATGTTTATATCACCATAACTATTAGCTAGTGTGCTTCCCCACTTAGGATTAATTACATGACAAGTTTGCAAGTCATACACCATGATTCAATTTTTTTTAACTTCAATAAGTACATATAACATATTACATATACGATGTGGAAAGAAATTGTTTAAAAGTTGTGATTTTTTTTTAAAAAATAGGTTAATAAAATGTGCAAATTGCAGTTATGAGTAGGAAATAAGTAACTCAATGCACAGACCCAAAAATCCGCAATCCGAACCGCCCACAACCCGCCGGACCCGCAACCCGATTGGCCCGTAACCCGATTGACCCGCAACCCGACGAACCTGCAACCCGACTAACTTGTAACCCGATTGAACCCAGCCCGAACCCGCCCAATTGACACCTCTACTTGAAACCACGGTTAAATTATGGCGTAAGTATAAAGTACTCTACCACCAACTTTTTCGATACGATTTTATAATCCTTGGTTCAAACAATTCTTTTACACTGGTGGAAACAAAAGTTACAAGTCACATTTTGAACTATCTATTGCAAATGTACATGGGCGCTGGGCCGTGCTTGGGCCGGCACGGCACGGGCATGCTTCGGGCCTATTTATTTCATGTCGTGCTTGGCACGACCCGTCAGTTTTCGTGCCGTGCCGTGCCATGCAAGCTCATTTGTTAACTTTGCTAGGCCCAGTTCGAATCATGTCGTGCCTATTCGTGCTCGTGCCATGCTAGTATTCGTGTTTAATGAAAAAGACGAAAACAAAAGAGAGAATGAAAAAAGGTGAAAATTGGACGGGGGAAGATAGTAATAACCGATAATGTTTGAGAAAAGTAGCAAATAATTATTTTTATACTTGTGTTTTGTAATATTTGAACCTATAAGTCTTTTTATATTTTTTTCCTATCAAATAAATATTATTTTCGTGCCATGTCCGTTCTTATACCCAACAAATTCTCGAAAATATTAGGCCCGACACGGCCCACTTATATACCGTATTGTGCCCGTGCTCGTGCCCATGAAGTTTAGGTCCGGCACGACCCATAAATTATTTGTACTTAGTGCCGGGCTGGCCCATTTATTTCGTGCCCGTGCTAGCCCGTGCGCGTAGGAATGACAATTGGGTAGGTCCGGGGCGGGTTTCTTGGTACCCAGACCCGCCCCGTGGCAGGTCGGGTAACTTATCACGGGTCGCAGGTCGGGGCAGGTCGAGCCAATGGGTATGCAATTTATATGAAAACATTAGAAATATTCATTATTTTTATTATAAGACCAAGAAAACAAACAATATTATGATAAATGTAGTTAAATTATTAGAGAAATTGAGGTTTTCACTAATTTACAACTTTATTATAGCTAAATTATGATGTAATAAAAGAAAAATTCTAAGTAATTTGACTAAGATTACATGTAATTTAGGCAAGAATGGATCGAGAATGGGGCGGGTCAGGACAGGTCGGGTCGATGAAAGTATCCATGCCTGCCCCGCCTACGAGGCGGTTCGGACCCTCCCCAAAACAGGCTAAACAGGTTGGGTAAAACGCGTCAGGTCAAAATTGCCATCCCTACGTGGGCGGCACGACCCGGTGCCCACCTACAATTGCAAAAAAGCACAAGTCACTTAGCGATAATGCAGAATTCAACCCAAAAGACACTTTTCAACTTCTATCTTTTAAAAATAAATGTATTTTACTCATACCCTCGCTCATTCATCAACTTAATGAGTAACATATATTTCATGTAATATGATTTCATAGGTTTTTATTTATTTAATTATTTCATGAAAATAATTTTGTTGCATGAAATTACCCCATTTTCTTTTATGCTAAAGATTGATTATGTATGTATTGTGAGAAGCAACTCTAATATTCAAGTATATGGTTTAATAAATTAATGAATGACAATTAATTATATTTATTTTTTATTCGATAATTATATATGATGTTTATATTATATTCTTTTCTCTTTTCATGGAGATCTAAACACATTATGCATAATTGAATCACTTTCATAAACATTATGTGCATAACTGAAATACAAAATACTCGTATTTCAAATCATCTATTATTTTCATTATTATACATCATAGTCTTTATGTGCTAGTTAAATTATAGATGTAGATAGTATAAAATTTGTAGTTACTCTCAGATCTTAATCATGAGTTTGGCCTTCGAATGATGCATTGACTTTCTAGAGTCTTATTGATCCGCTGCTCCCGCCGGAACTGTCAGGAGAAATGTCGCTCTCTCCACCCGCCGGCCGCCGATACCAAACCAGCTGTCGGAATCACAGAAGTCAAAAGTCCGCTCCATACCATACTAGTCAGCAGCGAGGATTCTCGCCTTTCCATTTCTCCACCACTTCCAGTACAAAATCCCTTCTCAACCCTTTCCCCTAAATTCCAGCGATTCTTCGCTCTGAAACCCTAAAATGGACTCTGTCGGGCTAGAAGTGGTTCTGATCACCGGCTGCTCGCAGGGAGGCATTGGCCACGCCCTGGCTAAAGAGTTCGCCGCTAATAACTGCCTGGTCGTCGCCACCAGCAGGTCTTTGAGCTCCATGCGAGACTTGGAGCAGGACGACAGATTCTATCTCCTGGAGCTCGATGTCACTTCCGAGGAGAGCGTGCAGCGGGCGGTGGCAAACGTCATAGACAAGTATGGGAGAGTGGATGTTCTGGTCAATAACGCCGGCGTTCAGTGCATCGCCCCAACTGCTGAGGTCCCTCTGTCTGCCATGCAGCAGGTTTTCGATACCAACGTTTATGGTAATTCTTCACACGCCCTGGATTCTGCTGATCCTGCCTTTCTTTTTTGTTTCAATGCTTGTGAATCGAATCAGTTAGTACTCTTTTGGATGGTGGACATGCTAATTGAGAATTTGACATGTTTTCCCTGGTTAGTGTGCTTGGTTGAGAGGTTGTTGCTCCAGGCCAGAGCTTAAAATTGGGTTTCCTGTGTTCTTTCTTAATTGGTAAGGGTGACATGGAATATTTAGATGTTGTCCTCCTCGAAGCTTCGAGGAGGAAATTCGGCTATCCTTCTTACAAGGCTCATGTTTAAGGATTAAGAACCATCTTTATGCAATCGATTGAGAATCGAATGATTGTAATGTGTGCTGGACCTGTTAAAGGTTGTGATGTGTTGGTGTCTCGCATGAATCATAGCCTTTTGATTATCAATGGATGGTTTTCAACCCATAAAGAACGAAAAGTGCTCATTTCCTATCATATACCACTTTCTGCAGAATCCTGAGAGAACAACTAATTAAGATTACCAATTGCTAGTAGTCTATGACTCTATTGTGGATTTCTTCATCATGACTACGAATAGAAAATTAGCAACTGCAGAGTGGCATATACAACTACAAGTTCGTGCGTGATTACTGATTAAGGCTTAAGTATCTCATCCCAAATGAAGGCCATTACGCCTTCTCTGGAAACTCTACCATCCCATGACCGTTTCCTGCACTAGCAATTTTGGCTAGAACTTCCCTTTTATGTCTTCCTATTACTAGTTGATGCACTTGTGCAGAAACTGTTTATGATACATTGATCCAGGCACGAAGTCTGGGATTTGGTTCACATAAGTCTATGGCCAATTAAGTTTCAGAAGTAGGCAGTAGTAATTACTTGACCAGCATCCCAAACTGGTACTAGCTTTCCTTCTCTTTTCGTTATAAAATCGAAACTTCAATCTCGTATTTTCTACAAGTTAGTAGCACCATCCTCTGATGCTATACCGTCATTGAGGAAAGTCAGGACATCACCCTTTCTGTTTTTAGCCAAATGTTGCAGTTCAACTGGATTTATATGCATTGCAGGCCCGATGCGGATGATTCAAGCTGTTGTTCCACACATGGCATCCCGAAGAAAAGGGAAAATCGTAAATGTAGGGAGCACTGTAGTCCTGGTGGCTTTTCCTTGGAGCGGGCCATATTGTGCATCTAAGGCCGCACTCCATGCTTTAACTGACACGTTGAGGTCAGTACATATATCCAATATGCAGAACTAAATTCCCTTTCCCTAAGACTTCTAGTTGCCAATGCTGATGGTTAACCCCCGAGGCTTCTCGTTGTACATTTCGATTGAAGTAAATGTCTGCAGAAGTTTACGGTTTTTTGTTGTTGCCCGGGTGCAGGTTAGAAGTGAAGCCATTGGGGATCGATGTGATAAATGTAGTTCCAGGTGCGATTCAGACGAATATACTGCACTCGGCTCAGAGTAACTATAAATCTGGGTGGAATCTATACAAGGCATTTGACCCAGCAATGAGACGATTAGCCTCCCAAGGCACAGTAGGTACTCCTGTCGCAACATTTGCAAAGCATACTGTTGCTGCCATCCTCAAGAAACATCCCCCAGCATGGTTCTCGTCAGGCACGTACTCGACCATCATGGCCATTGCGAGCCATCTGCCATGCCGTATCAAGGATTTGCTTGTTCGTGGTTATCTTAAACCCTGAATCATTATTCTTCACATTATTCACTGCGAAGGGTCTTCTCTGCAGCTTCTTGTATGCAAGATGGTTCAGATTTCACCATATCTAGCAATGCTCCCATCTTTCTTCTGAATGGTGTGACTTGGCGTGTTCTCTGGTGCATCATGTGGCTAGGAAGGGTCCAAAACTCTGTAGTTATCTTTGTTGATAAAACTGATTATCAGCAACTGGGTTTATGATTAACATTGATGTGATTGTTTGGGCATTGCTTCTTCCTTAATGCTATTCTAATCTGATAATATAACCCGATGCAGGACAAGCTCGGTGTTGGAGAGATGATGAAGGTGGTTAATGATGTTGGCAATGTTAATATCAACTAGTAATCCTGGTATGTTTATAGTTTATTATTAGCAGTAGAGATAGGATAACTTAATAAACTAGTATTCCTGCTTAGGGAGCGGCGAAGCTTCAAGGCAACTTGCTCTGTTGCTGGAGTCTGGGTCACTTGGGCACAACTTTCTGGTTTTGGTTAAGACCCATTACTGAATCAGTTTAGTATATCAGCATCCTTAAACCCACTAATAAAAATAGCCACGCACTCATTATTAGGGGGTGAACAAAAAGAACCGCAAACCGGCCCGTCCAATTTAACCCAATCCATCCGTATTTATCGTTAATATTAAGGTTTAACTTTGGGTGAATATTTTATTTTGTACAACCCGCTTCTTTTGGGTTTAATGCGAATTTTGGGTTACTCAACTGGTAGAATCCGACACAAACTATGTCCAAACTATAGTCATAATTGTCAATATCTAAAACATATTTATATCGTATATAAGTATGTTTGTGAGAAAATTAATATATTTTGTCTTGTGGTTTCCCCAACCTAATGCATTCATCGACCTAAAAATTTAGACATGAGTTAATATAGGCAATGTTTCACGTAATATCTTTGTTACAAGTTTAGAAGAATAACACACGGTGTGGAAAAAATTAGACATATGTTGAAGCAAATTGCATTGATTTAAAATCGAAATAACATCCATGCATTTTGATACTTTTCACATTGCTTTATTTGTTTGAAATTCTAACTAGTTATATTATATTTTTTGTTGTGTAAAATAGTTTAATTTTTTTTTTTGGGTTGGGTTTTTACTTAAAAGTATTAATGTCATTCTGACTCAACACAAATATAAAAAAACCGTAGGGTTTGGATTTAATATTTTCAAAATCGTAGTGTATGAGTAGAGTGATTAAAATGACTAAACATGTATGTTTTTTTATAAAATGTGTATAAAACGTTATGAAGTGATTGACCTTTGATCAGACCATTAGCGCTCAAAGGAGTTGGTTGAACAAGTTTGAGTAGACTGGGTACATCATGAAATAGACAAGGGACAAGAAGGACATATGCATATTATATTCGCGCGTAAATGATGCAGCCAGGCGAGGTACATATATAAACAGACTAGGTTATAACATGCTGGGATAGAGGTGAGGGAGCAGGTGGGGCAGAATCCAAACTTGTAAAGGAGTAGCCTTTTTGCAGAGCAAGAGTATATGTAAGGATCTTTATTGGATTAATCTGGCGAAGAAATGGAAGAATGGAGATGATACAAAGAGGAAGAAGAATTGAGGAAAAGCTAACTGTCCTACAAGCTGTTCTACTAAGCTAAAGCTATGCGTAAAAGAGGGGAAAGTACTAATAGAATTACAATTGGTCAAAAGCTACCACTCGCCTAATAGCTATTTATACTTGTCTATCTACACACGTCCTCACGCCAGCAGCTCGGGTTGTTACAAACTCTCCCTCTTCAGAGACAACTTGTCCTCAAGCTGTTTTCAAGATGGAAAAGTGGGGTACTGCACCTTGAATCAAGCACCCAAAAAGCAGTAGCATTAAGAGGACATAATGACAATTGACAACATAGTCCAAATTTGCAGATGTCCTGAATAGTGAACCACAACAAAAACCATTGCTTGCCAATTATGGATATGTAGAAAAACAAGAATTCTCTCCAAATTGTTTTCAAGGACAAGTAGTTGCAGCATCACGCACACCAACAAAGCAACACAACCACATGAATATATTTTGCTATGATTTCTTCATCAGCTAGAGATGGTTTGAATCCGAATCCAGATTTTGCCGGCAGCTTGAGGCCAACCATATTTTCAAACAGTGCAAGAATGACATCCTCGGTGTGGCAAATTGTAGTTCCCTCCATTATCCAGACACAACGAGACTCACCCTGTCCAGAGTATGTTGTCAGGCTCCTAATCAAACCCAGAAGCTGCTTGAACACCAATGCTTCGTGAAGCCAAGTTGTGTAGGGTCCTTCCAAGCTATGAACATGGCCTCTCCATTTACAAACCCAAGAGTAACACAGACAGATTACAACACCAGAATTTGAGGCCGCTCTTGAGTTCACAGTGACAGCACGAGGTCGAGACATACAAGCAATTGATCGATAATCACAATCTTTATAAGGGACTTTGAAATCATCATGATTTCTACTTCCATGGAAATTCCTAAAGATGCCATAGTAAGTTGGTAAAACGCAAAACTGGAAACCCAAACTGCCATTGCTGGACTCGATAGGGAAACAAAAGAATCCAAAAACAAACTCAGTAGGACAAGAATCACCAAAAATAAAAGCATCCTCTACAAAAGTGAGAGTCTTATCAATGGTGACAGAGGAAATCATTTTCTGGATAAGACTACCACTCTTAATCCAAAGATCAGTGAGATTGAGAACCCCTAAGAAAGAAGAGTTATGTGGAAAAACTAGGGTGAGAACCCCTGAAGGAGAAGAGACTGTGGGTTTGGTAGTTTGAAAACCACCTGAAACTGCCGAAATGAAGGGCAGTTGAGTAGCAGGCGTATCCAAAAAATTTGAGCATGGATCTGGCCCCAATAAAGGAAGGGAATCCGTCGGAAGTAGGGGAAACACAAGGAAGAAGAGGTTGGAGTACGAACCTGGGCGTCTCTTACAAACCCAACTAAGGGAGGGACGACATCTATTGGAGCTGATTGCACGCCTCTTCGACATTCATCTGCACTTGACTCCCAAATTGACAAAGCAGCTCATCGACGAATCGCTCCCAATGCAACGGAAATCGCCTGAAAGACCACCCCGCAAACCATGTGGGAACTCGCCCTTCCAGATAGTGCGAAACCAAATCAACATTCTGATATTCCGGAATTGAGTAAACCAGGAAGAGTTCGTTACATTTGCTCACCCACATCAGAGGATCCGAGCTAGAGAAATAGGGCAACTCGAGCGAGGATATGGATCCACAATTGACGGTCGACACGGCTGATGCCGGAAGTGATGATGATCAGGGTGATGATCGTCATTGTGACGTGGTGGTGAGTGAATCGGCGATGTCTCCCTATTTCGCGTAAAAGAAGCAGTGAGGGCGGCGAAGCACTCCCTCGTTGAAGCCGCGAGAGGAGCAATGACGTCCTTCAGATCTTGATGCTGGGAATCCATCTGCAACTGAACGAACACAATTTGTGTCTCCAAGTGGACGAGTCGCGAAGTATGCGTTGCCATAGCCAGATTACAGGCTTCTGATACCACTTGTAAGAACATTTATTATGAGAATCTGGCGAAAGAATGGAGGAAATTGTCGAGAGGACGAAGGGAAAGAAATGCAGGGACGTTCTGCAGAGCTATAACTATCAATTAAAAGGGAAAGTTGCTAACAAAATGATGATTGGTCCAAGAGATAGTCCTAACAGGTGGACTTTAGCTATTTATACACTTGACAACTGGTTTGGGTTGTTACAAACCCTCCCCCTCAGCTTGTTCTCAAGTTGTGTTTAAGATAGAAAAGTAGGATGGTGCTCCTTGAAGGAGAGCAAGGCTTCCCAAGTAGCTTCCTCTAGTAAGTGGAGCGTCCACTGCACAAGAACTTGCATCCCAGCCCGGTTTCCCTTGTTCACAAATCGCCTAGCCAAAATTTATTGTGATGCCAGCTTCAAGGAACCATTGGCATCTAATGCAGGAAGCTGCAGGGTAGCAGGAGGCACAGTGGATCGACACAATTTCAGCCAGGAAATGTGAAACAGAGGGTGCACTCGGGAACTGGCCGACAAGGTTAACTCGTAGGCCACGTTACCATCTCTTGCCGTTTCAGTTGGTGCACTAATCCCCTGACAAATAGCTGGAAGTTGGACATCAGCCTTGGTTCTGGGAGTTGGACAACAGCTCTCTGGTGGGTTCCAGCCTTCAGGTAGTGGAAGAGTTTGACAGAACATCTCAATAAACTCCGCAACTAGCAAACACAAGGACTGGTTAAACACAACTGCAAGTCGAATAAGCACAACCCAACAGTAACATAGACAGATTAAAGCACAATTTCACAAGGCATCCAATGGTTTCTCGGTATGATCCACTCTTTCAAAAGCTAGCTTCGTTGCTGTGAAAGTAGGCAACCCTTGTGCATTCAACCTTTGTGCATTCACCCCATTATCTCCCTCTCTCAAACTACCATGCTCTTCACAATTCTTGTAAGGGCCTTTAAAATCCGGCCAAGTGCACCCCTGATGACAACTCAGGCGAACCCCAAAAATATTCGGAAAATTTGAAACCCTAATTGCCTTGGACCCATTGCTAAGTATTCATGTGGGAACCCACCATCAGCATAAACTTGGAAGATGTAAGTAGCAGCTGAGTCACTAATAACCATGTCAAAGGTTTGCAACTGTTGATGGTGATGCACAACAGGTGAAACAAACTTGTCCCACTCATATGGGCAAGGAGACTGAGTCGGCAACGACTGGAAGCAGTCTAATAGAACACTTTGGGAATGAAATTCATGAGAATACGGTGGAACTTCAAGAGAAAGAAATCTGAGGAAAGGGGATATATCCAATGTAATTGAGGATTCGCAAGTCGACAAACCAAAAATAGAATAAGCACAAAAATCGATAGGATATACATCAGCTGATGAAGCATAAGGCAACAAAGCAAAAGTTAGTGGGGAAGACGTCAATGAAACTGCAGGCGCATTTGATGAATTGGCAACGGACAAATCAGAAGGCAGCAAAGCAAAAGATGGCGAGAAAGAAGGCAGGGCCATCAGCGTTGGTGCTTGGGAAGAAAAAATTGGGTCTGGAATTCCCAGAGAAGAAGCAGTAGTAGGCATTAGGGATTTCGGTGTTGGTGTAGACAAGGGCGAAACCCAATCGAAGGTTGGAGAAGGAACCAGGGGGTCTGCGGTCGAGTCATATTTCCCGGAGATGGTGGAACAAGGAACCCGCACATGAGGATCTAGAATTGACGACCAACGTGGTGGCAGACGGAACTGTTGTTGATCGGCGAATTGATTGGGAGTTGAGTGCCGTGGAGAACGAACAGGAGAATCGTCCCGCCATTGCTCCAACAAATCAGTATGAGTGTTGATAGTGGCCTTCGTTGAAGCCACAAGAGCAACAATGGAGGTCTTCAGATTCCGGTGCCATTAGTCCATCTGTTGTGTAATGGTCGCCATTTGAGTTTCCAAAACAACGATGCGAGAGGTGTTCGTCGCCATTGCTAGATTACATGCTCTGAATACCACTTGTAAGTATCTTTATTGCATTAATCTGGCGAAGAAATGGAAGAATGGAGATGATACAAAAAGGAAGAAGAATGGAGGAAAAGCTAACTGTCCTACAAGATGTTCTACTGAGCTAAAGCTATGCGTAAAAGAGGGGAAAGTTCTAACAGAATTACAATTGGTCAAAAGCTACCCCTCGCCTAACAACTATAGCTATTTATACTTGTCTATCTACACACGTCATCACGCCAGCAACTCGGGTTGTTACAGTATAGTGCTCGGTCATGTCGACAAGGCTATCGCCTGACACAGTGAGAAGAAAGCCATGAAGCAGCGTGGCAAGAGTAAGGTGCATCACTTGGTTGGCCATCGGAACCCCTGGGCAATCCCTTCTCCCTTTCCCAAAAAGTGCATACTCAAATTTTTTGTTCCAAATCAGGTATTCTGGTTTAAGCCGATGGCGGTGTTGCAACAACTTGTGTTGTTGGTCCTGCTTTGCAGCTCCGGAGACAAGAAACCTCTATGGCATGAACTCAAGCGGACTATTCCAAGTCCCAGGATTGCGATGTAGCCTTAGCACGTTTAGGAACACCCAGGTGCCCTTAGGCACATGATACCCTGCGATGCAAGAATCCTCATTCGCCTCGCGGGGGACTCTTAGAGGACCCGATGGATACAGGCGAAGGGTTTCCTTCACCACAACTTGAAGGTACACCAGGTTTGGGATGTCTCCCTCTCGTACCCACCTCTCCCGCCCAAATTCCCGATCCAACTCTTCCATCACCTGTAATAGAGTATATGTAGTATTATTAGAGTATAAGTAGTACGCGTAGTATTATGTTATACTACGAGTATTGTTATGTAATTGGTCAGAGTTATATTCCTTATTAAAGTTGTAGAAGTTAGGTAATTTCAATATTAGTGTTGGATTATTATATAAGTCAGCCTTTGTAATCTATATAAACCCTATGTGGTTTAAGAAATAAGAATACACAACAGTTTCCACCGTATTTTGATTTCTCAACAATCTGCACATACTCTTTTGTGGTTCAACATATTGGCCAAGGCCCTCGTCAACGTCATGGATGTAGTATCTGCCGCTGCGAGGATAAGGCTCTGCAAAACAAACAAATATATACATATTGGATGGTTGAGTAATATTCAGATAACTGGAAAAAGAGTGCTTATGTTGTCAAAAACCAATTGATCCTAATAATTCGATTTGTTGGGAGAGGTTCAGTCATGGATTATATATGATTCACTAATACACCCCCTCAAACTAAAGCCAGTCAACTCATAAGGGTTTTCACAAATGGGCTTCACAAGTGGGTTTACCAGGATCCGAACACAACACCTCCCGATCATAGGGCTCTGATACCATGTCAAAGACCAGTTGATCCCAATAACTCGAGTTGTTGGGAGATGTTCAATCGTGAATCATATACTACTCACTAACATATGTATGTATGTATGTATACTTAACTATAATTGTGCCATTGATGGCTTTCTCGCAAGGAATATGGCCAAGCACCGGATCGTAGTAATCGCAGTTGACAGAGGATAGCAAAACATGGATGACATCCTGATGGCAGCGACTATCAGCAGTAGCAGCAGGCACCGCCTCATGTTGGGATATCCAATTTGACAAGATGGAATGGAAATTGGCATCCACGCGTCGCATAGCCTTCACGCTCCATGCGAACTCGCGGGTCCAGTCCAGGAGTGGGATGATGTCCGAGATCACAAAAAAGCCGGCCAACTTCATGAACTCTTTGATCAGCCGTCCGATCTGTTTTGTCTCCTCCACCTCCTCCTCCTCATTGATACTGTTGTCGTGGAACACGTGGGATTTCTTTCCTGACACTATTCTCGTTGTTACGTTCAGCGTCAGACTTTCAAATACGACATTCATGGCCACAATCGTGGCTTGGTCGTCGTCGTTGCTTTTGTGGATGAGCGATTAGAGGTGGCTCACTAAGGAATCAACCTTCGACTGCCGGACATGCTCTGTGGCTCTGAGGCCGTCAGAGGAGACGAAATGAGTCACTGCGAGATTTTGAATGCTTCGCCAGTAGGCGCCATACGGTGAAACCCCGAACCCGATGTAGTCGAAGAGGAGGAACTTGGTAGGGCTTGTTCTTGGTCGAGACGAGAGAGCCCTATCATGGGTGGTGAATCATTCCTTCACCACCTTTGGATAGCTCACCACAAGTATCCGCTGCATCCCCAGCCATACCGTCAAGACGGGCCCGTATTTGTCTGCCATAGCCGCCAACGCAGGTGCAACTGCCGGTTTGCTGCCCATGGTCAGCATATGGAGGTGGCCTATGATCGGCAATGCACTCGACGACTCGGGAGCGTATCGACGGCGACGGGGTATCTCGCCATTCTTAGTACCACCGTAAATAATGACTCTGCTGCAGAAGCAATGCAAGTAGGAAAGGAACACTACCCAAAGTACTGCTGTGCCTGCTGGTAGTGCTATTAAGCACACCACATTACCAACAACGGACAACACAAGTTTATTATTGTATGGCACAAGTAACATAGAGAAAACCACATGTTCATAAAATCTAGCCACAAGTCTATTGTATTTCCCCTTTATCAATTTTGTTTTTCGTTCTTGTTGCACAGGTATGTGTATTCCATTCTGGGATCGTTTCGACCGGAGGAAGAAGATGAAGTAGAGGAAATGAAGAAGATGAAGAAGAGGGATTTCAATGGAATTGTGGGTGGATAGTTTGTTGTCTTGTCCTTTAATTTATTTAGTATTCACATGAAGCTTCTAGTTGAAGGTCAATCTATGGCTTGATGATCAGTGATATTTAGGGTTTGTTTCGGTCGAAGGAAGAAGATGACGAAGACAAAGTTTCATTCGAACCGTGGATAGTCATCATAAATTGTATTTGTCAATCAACCAAACGATTGGGCTTAGTGTAATGCAATAATTTGCGATCCAATTTGTGATTCTTTTATGGCTAATGGGCCAAGCAATAGGTGTAAGTAATATTTGTTATTGAAATTTAAAACGATTCTGGATCATTTCAGCTAGTGTTGGAAACTTAATATACGTGGATTAGCTTTCGTTGTTGTAAACATATTAATTAGTGATGAATTTCGATTATTTTGTAATTAAATGAGATGTCGGAAGATGGACAAATGCTTGGATTGTTTTTAATACGTGATGAATTCGTTTAAATTTATCTACTTGTACAAGGGGGCCTTTTAATTTCACGCTACGTGAAGCTAATTACCGATGTCAATCCTTGAAAAGGTATACGAGGGAGGTCATTTTAGTACATGCAACTTTATGTTTGCGTTCCACATCATAAAGCCAAACAACATCTACCTTATTTTTACTATTGACATTCTAGCCTTGTAAGGCCAATGCCTCATTAAAGTCAAGTGAAGGCATTATGACTAATATAATTAATTTTACGTAACTTAATGAAGTATTTCACGAATAGAATAGGAGCAACAACAATGAAATAGGAACTGGAATTTGTCATGTCTCAATGAAATAAAGAAATGACACCCATTGTGGTGGATTCTCATTTGTAAATAAGAAATCACTTACTGCTATTAATGCCAAACCCTTAACATGAATCTATTTCACAAAATAGGGTGTCTCACATAGGAATAGTTAAATGGGGTAATTTTCAGACAACTGTATGCGTCATTATAGGAGAGGCTTTGAAGTTATTTCCTTTAGCATAAAATTTAACGTAACAGAAAAGGCCAACAAATATATTCACTTAGGCTTGCATATTAATTTTACGTGCAATGGCAGTCGTGTAAAGCTCGCTTGTTCAAAAATAAACCCCGAATTAAGGGATATTGAGCAAAACTCACGGATGAGGGTTACATAGCTGATGTGGATGACACGTTTATTAGAAAGACAATTAATATTTTTATTTTATTGATAACTATAATTGCCAAATCAAGCATTGACGGTAAACAGGCCGGATATAGAGCACGTCTTATGAGAATTTGGCCCCTCGCTTTATACCTATCTTATGGATTCAAAACCTAATAATTTTGGAAGTCCTTTGCATTGGGTAAGAAAATTGTGGCGTGGTTGCTTTAATTATTGGTTTACAGGAGCACCACTATTAAGAAATAGAAAATTCGCAGCTTATATAAGGAGAACTGGACAACCACCACACGAGGTACTAGTTTGACAATAATTTTTGTGGCCAAAATCGATTGTTAACATTGAGCATCATAGCTTACATAATGAGTTCAATCTCGTGGACCAAACCCAAAACCCCTTAATTAAACAGGTTGTGTCGCCTCATACCATCATGGATTGTACCAAGTACTGCCTTAGGGATTGGAGAGTTCAAAGCAACCTACTGTACTTGCATTAGGAAAGATCAACAACATGTTGGTGTGAATTTAGTACATCGAGATCATTCTCTCCACAATCTGGTCGTTTCTTTCCTCTATTAAGTCGCTCACTATAACTTCTCTTCATTCTCATCCACATCTCCTGTCCTTCACTTTCAGTTTTGAGAATGACACTGGATACTTGCCCTGATACAAGAAGATCAGTCATTAGATACTGCACCTTCCTTGGATCTTCCTTGGTTACCTAAAAAAGCAAGAAGCAAACGAAAGTATCCAGGTCTTCTTCTGGAGCAGAATACAGAACTTTGGCACAATTGTGCTGTGATGAAGTTCAATGGCGCAAGGTAATGCTTGAGTTCTTCTTTTGTAGTCATCCAGACCCATGACATTATATTGTGACAATCAATAATCTGCTATTCATATTGCGGAAAATTCAGTTTTCCATAAACGAAGAAAACATATTGATGTGGATTGTCATGTCACAAGGAAGAGATTGAAATATGGATTGATTGCATTGAAGCATGTAAGAACTGATGTGCAATTCGCAGACCTGTTCACTAAAGGTCTTGCATATGAGAGATTCATATTCTTATTTAGCAAGTTGGAAGTACACCATGTGTACTTGCCAGCTTGAGGGGGTGTGTGAAGAACACCTCCTGGTCCTGCACTGGTTATTGGAGAAGCAGGACCATACTCTGCTACAACTGAAGAACTGCTAAACTTGCAGATGCAGATCACTGAAGAACGAGAGGGACTGAAGTGGAATGGTTTGGAAATTGTGGAATTCTTTTGCGTATATATTTGTACAACTTTCTTATACACACAGTCGTTTTTCATTAAACCAATTCGTTATTGTTTATCAGTGGTCTTAGCCACCTGTCGCCTTGTGACTGGTGGTTTTGTATAGAGGTTAGCGGATAACCGTTGAATATAAATGAAGGACCACTGAGTCCAGAGCTGACATTGAACCTCCTCTTCCAATAATCCTACTCGATCTTATCTTCTTCCTCCACAGCTCTTCTCTTTCTTCCGTGAAACCCTAATTCCATTTAGGAATTTCAAATCTACCCCGATGGCATATTATATTGGATGGGCCGGCGTGTTATAGAGCAATCTCAGGATCATGACCACTTCAATGCCCAAATTATACGATTTTGCAAGGACATGAATGTCGAACACTAGAGAAAAAGGCAAGAGGACAAAGATGCGTGCATACGGCTATTATGCTATGTAATTGTAAACCCACCAAAAGACAACTCAAATAATTTAGAGCAGACTAGTTCATCAAAAATATTATATAGCAGTCTGAGCAGGACCACTTGCAAGTCCGAATGATACGATTTTGCAAGGATTGGAATAGGGAACAAGACACTAAACCCAACGTTCGCCAAAGGACGCATGCATGCACTCCATATATATATAAACGCCACGATTACTATGAGTAGTTTGATATAGTCGTTTTACACGTCTATATTTATCTTTTATCTTGGTTGTATTAGTGGATGGGTAATACAAGTAGTATTATGATATACAATGAGTATTGTTATTTATATGGATGGAGTTATAATTTTTTTTTTTTATCAAAGTCTTGCAAAAGTTAAATTTTTCATGTCAGTACTCTATTAATAATGATTAGGTATAGGCCAAGGAAATGACTTGGTCGATAGATCCTAATATCAGCGACCAAATATTATAGAGCAGTATGACCACGACCACTTCAAAGTCCAAATGTTACGATTTTGCAAGGACGCATGCATGCACTCCATGTACGTGTGTGTATATATATATAAACCGCGCGAGTACTATCTATCAGCAAATTATCATCGATCATCCCTTGAGAGCAACATAAGGACAGAAGGGGGAAAAAAGAAGAAGGTGAAACAAGGAAGAAGTGAGTACGTAGATATGGAAATAATATCGTCTTCATATTATGTAGCACTCGCAGCAGGCGCACTACTTTGGGTAGCGTTCCTTTCCTACTTGCACAGCTGCTACAGTAGAGTCGTCGGTGTTCAGGAGAATGGTGAGGGACCTCGTCGTCGTCGTTTCGCTCCCGAGCCGCCGGGTGCATTGCCGATCATAGGCCACCTCCATCTGCTGACCCTGGGCAGCAAACCGGCAGTTGCTAACAACGAAGTGGTACAAGAGATTGAACCCTAAAACTTGAGCATTTCATTACAATCTCTGGCCTTTATAGGCAGAGCATTACAGGAAGAAGACAAGCAAGTTTGCTGTTTGTTTTGAAGCTTGGAAAGGAAACAAGACAGCCTTGTGGCAAAAGTAAACAACGACTGAAAGGGAAAGAAGAAACGGTGACGTTCCGAGGAGATGGCTTCTCCTTCAGCAGCACTGAAACGGCGGCGTTCCACTTAAGCTCCTTGTCTCGTGTCGAAACGTTGTCGTAGAGAATTCTGACCGTTGGAAATGAATTTTCCTTCTGTTACCCCCCCGCAAGCTGGTGGGCAAAGATTGCGCACACCAAGCTTGGAGAGCAGTGTCTGAAATGGAGCGGGAGACAGGGGTTTTGTGAACAAATCCGCCAATTGGTGAGCTGAGGAGATATGAAGAAGCTTCAGAGTCCCTGATTGTGTCTTCTTTCGAACAAAGTGGCAGTCCAGTTCGATGTGTTTGGTTCTTTCGTGGAAGGTGGGGTTTTTGGCAATGTGAATGGCGCTCTGGTTGTCGCAATACAGAGTTGCTGGAGCTGAAGAAGAGGCTTGGAAATCGGCCAGAAGGTATTGCAGCCACTGTATTTCACAAGCCGTTTGGGCGAGGGCCCTGTATTCTGCCTCACATGATGATCTGGAGACTGTTCTTTGCTTTTTACTTTTCCAGGAGATTAAAGAGTCACCAACATAGATGCAAAAACCAGTAGTCGATCTTCTGGTGTCAACACACGCTGCCCAATCGGAGTCAGCAAAGGCCTTGAGTTGAAATGTGCCTGTTGAGGGAAAGAAGAGACCAGTTGCAGGTGCAGACTTCAGGTACCTTAGAACACGAAGAACAGCTTTGTAGTGGGTAATTGTTGGTGAAGACATGAACTGACTCAGTTGCTGTGTGGCAAAACTGATGTCAGGGCGTGTTGTAGTGAGGTAGATCAACTTCCCTACAAGTGTTCTGTAGAGTTCAGGGTCTTCAAATGCTGTATCTGGTCCATTGCTGAGGTGGAGTTTGTAGTCCATAGGTGTAGTCACAGGTTTTGTATCCAAGACATGTGCTTCCTCTAAAATTTCCAGAGTGTATTTCCTTTGACTGATGTGAATTCCAGATTTGCTTCGAGCCACTTCAATGCCAAGGAAGAATTTCAAATCTCCCATGTCTTTGATGCTGAATTCCTTGTGCAGAATCTCTTTTAATGATTGAATCTCATCAATATCATTGCCCCCCAGAACTAGATCATCCACATAGATCAGAATGCAAGTATAGCTAGTGTCTGTGACCTTGAAAAACAGTGAATGGTCTGCTTGACTCTGTGTGTAACCAACCTGTCCCAATTTGTCAGTCAATTTGGAAAACCATTGTCTGGATGCTTGTTTTAAGCCATATAAAGATTTTTTCAGTTTGCAGACTGGGTTGGGAATACCAGGAGGGGGAGTATACCCTTTTGGTAGGGTCATATAAACCTCTTCTTGCAAATCTCCATGGAGAAATGCATTGTTCACATCTAGTTGGTGAACATGCCAATTTCTCATGGCAGCAATTGCAAGAAAGGTTCTGACAGTGG